CCCAAAAATGGAAAAACAAACGTAATGAAACATCACCAAAAAACTACAGAAATCATAATTGAGTTTTAAGCTCTTAGATATATTTTACACCTGATGATGGTTTTATAAAAACCGAAACATGTTGTGTAAATGTTCCGAAATGTAAATCGATCAATCGATATGGAACGTGAATTATATTTTATTATCTTAATTATAATAAAATTTTAAATAAAAATTATATTGTGATCAGACGGATTAAAATAAATAACTGATATAATATTCACAATATGACGCAATTACACTATCTTATGAAATAATCAGTGTTTATTCTGAGAATAATAAGAAATCCGTAAATACACTTTATGGGTAAAATCAGGCGCTGACTTTAATTAGCGCAGAGTTTTAAATTGTTGCTAAAAGGTTCCTTAGGTGAATGAGCACATCAGTTAAGGCCACGTCATTAAACCTCACTGACCTACCCACATGTGTAGTAGCCTGAGGTCATTTGAGGTTACTGTGCTGATGCTCACACGGATGCCACCCTGCGAGTGTTTCGTGGTGACGTCATAACGAGAAGCCTAACATTAATATTATTCATTATAATATGTCAGAAATCGTTTGCCAGTTGTTTGAAAAAAGTTGCAGGTGGTAAAATATTCCAAAAAATCTGTTCTCTGTGGAGTTATGTGTTTTGTGCATGAGTTGCAAGAACGCAAATTTTTGTCTTAGAAGTTACTTGGACGAATTTCGATTAAATTTTGTATTGGCTTACGAAACGAAATATAATTTTGGTCATATCGATCCATTATAATCTCTGCCGTACACGAAACTCGAATGAAACTGTCGATTACGTCAGAAACGTCCGATTATAAAAGTGATATATAACGTAGGAATAAAACATTTATCACAAAAAGATTTTTTGAGATGCTTAACACTACAGTGTGTACTTGGAGCAACATAATTAAACATTTTTGTTTTCTGCGATTGTCTTAAATTTTTTTATAAGCAAATGTGAAGTCAATTGAATAAAAATTTACTTGGATATTATCCATCGTCTAGTAATAAAACGTAAAAAACGTAAAACGACGTTTCGGAGATGGGGCTCTATCTCCGTCTTCAGGTTCCTACTCAGTTGGGCCCACTAGATAGAGCTAATCCCTATCTCCGGACAAATTAAAAAGTGAAAGTCCCAAAATAAAAAGGCATTAACACACCATCCATCCGTGGGACGTAAAAGAATAGTATGTAGAAAACTAAATTCATAAACGCCAATAAAACCAGAAGACAAAAACTCACAAAAGGTGGGAATAAATAGAGCCCCATCTCCGAAACGTCGTTTTACGTTTTTTACGTTTTATTACTAGACGATGGATAATATCCAAGTAAATTTTTATTCAATTGACTCTTCACCATCGTCAAGAAGTTTTAGATTTGATATACAAATGTGAAGTGTTAACATAAAAAAATATCGGTAAATATATTCTCCAATGGAGTCTTATAAATCTGTTTTCACTGAAAGTGTGTGTTTATTCTGAAACTCGGTTACATAAGTCACTGAAGTAACTGATTACTGTCTGGACGACCGCGATTCGAATCTTATCACCGCCAGGGACTTCCAGCTTCTTCACCATGTCCAGAAGAGCTCTGGACCGCCCCAGTTTCCTGTTCAGTGGGTATAGAGGATTTTTCTGGGCCAAGACGGGAGGAGCGCGAAGCTGACCGATCATATTCCAAAGCCGATATCCAGAGTACATGTAATTTTACTTCTAGGCTTTCGTGATGTGATTTGTAGTCAGAAGTGCATCGTCTGTGTTTAAGTTTCGAGTGAGCAGTGCTGTTTCTATGGTTACAGAAATATTACGACCTGGACGTGGAGGTAACAAGGAAAGATGGCCTCATCCTTATTAGAGAAATGGCAGCCGAGGTGAAGAACATGATGGACATCAAGATGAACGCCGTCATGGTAAGTGCGTCACATGAATTTCTCATCCTACGTGGTGATTTTTTTTTTTTTGAAGACGGTAATGAACGTTCCCGTGGAAGAGGTGAATTATTTTTATTGGCCATTTAAGTAATTGTCTTGATTTCAAGGAAGTTTCCACGAAGTTAAATTTGGTTTGTTGACATTTGGGGAAGAAAGTTACTAGGAAAGTAATTAGTTCAGCGACTTCATACAAAGGACGGGAATATTTAAAAAAAATGGGCTATATTATCGTCGTAGCTCACAGAGTCTGCAATATTTGTTTCTTGAATCCAGTAATAGCAGAGGGGACTAGACAGGAGACGCTAAAAGGTCATAATCCTGATATTTTGTGACTTATTTCACTGCACCAGTCCATATGGGGACTTGTTCATATACGTTCTTGGCAGATGATCCATAAGTGGTTTGCCATTGCCTTCTTCTGTGTGTGAATGGAGTAATTGTTGGGATGCCACGGAGGAAAACTCCGTGTTGCCTAGACCACGGCCTTGCCCAACACAAGTTATAAATTCGGGCACCGCCGGGAATCGAACCCGAGACCCCAGGATTACAAGGCCAGCGTGGTCTATATAAGAGGAAAACAAATAATTTTTGTGTCCTGGGTTTAAATCTTGGTCCGTTGTTTTCGTATGTCCCTCAAAGCAAATGCCATCATCTCACCTCGCACAGGCAACGATGGGTTCTTAGAAATTCCTTTTCAAAGCATAATAGGTTTAAGTTGGTCGTCCTCTTTTGGTACGGAAACGACTAAGGCAGATTATTTTGCTCCTGGGAACGGAAAATGTTTGTTGGAAGAGAAGATGGGATAATTGTTAGTAGTACAGATATGGCGTCAGATAAGATGCTGGTTTGTTTGTGGGTGAAGTCTCATCGAGGCTTCGTGATTAAATAATGATCAGAGGCGACATGTTGTTGGCCTGTTGCCAGGCGGCGGTCAGCTGTATTAGCTAAATAGCATCTGTTTCCCTCGGCAACCTTGTTGAGGTAGCGTCCAACACTTAACGACACGACATAATTTTAGTCCTTTTTTTTAATTTTTACATTTGCACCTGTGTATGTGACCCATTAATTTAATATAAATTACTATAAGTCGTTTCTGTTTGTCAGATGAACATTTTTTTAAAAATTTAGCGGAATACGGTAAGATGTTTTAACCTGATTATAGTTCAGTTTTAATTAAGCGTTCCGCTTGATTTGTGTGGACATCGCGGAGAATTTGCGAAGCGTATTTTATATTTAATTCTTCGATTATTAACTTTGTGCTTTACGTAGTTTGTTTCGCAATTATGATTGTTTATTTTAATACAGTTTACTTAAGTAAGTGACAGAGACTCTTATCGAGTTTCGGAAATTTACTCAAATGGTAAACTTATTTTCTGGTTCTTAGTATCCTCTTTGGTTTCGAGGCATTTTTGTTTCCCGTTGCCACAGACCTGAGCGCAAATTTCATTCAGCCAGACACATCCATTCGTGGCAGCAGCTGGTTTAAAAATGGTTGTCCAATTCTCATCTCAAAAAAGAAAAGAAAAAAATCATAAATATTTTTCCCCATTTCAGCCTCAAAACTGCCAATATAAAAATATTTTATTCACAAGTTAAGCCTGTATAAACTATTATGGCTTGGTGAGTGTCTGTATGAAGATCGGTTTCTCTCGAAGGTGGTTCATTATTTTGGCGACACTGCAGAATAGTCACCATTTTGTGTTGGAACGTTGGTCACTTGGTTCGTTTTATTTCCCTGGTCGGGGCGCACTCCTTTTTAAAACATTTCCCAACTCCACAAGTATTGTGCAGAACGCTCGATTCGAAAGCTGTTACTTTTCAACTGAGCAGTTATTTGGGGGGGGGGGGGGGAACTTTGGTTTCTTTTTCTCCCGTCTCTCTTCCTGTTTCACAGTTGAAGTGAATTTTGAAGTGACTGAGTTGCTTTTGGTCCGTAGCCCTTCTGACAAACTAGTACGTACGCAGCGGCACCGACTCGATACCTTCGTAACAATCGATCTTTGCTGCATCGTGAGAGCCATCTGGGAGGTAGCTCGGTGAAATAAGATCAAATCTCGCATACTCCCTTCTTCAGTATGAGGCTAATGAAAATGTTTTTACGCCATCGCCCCCCCATTCCCTACTTTTCATCTCTTGGGGAATGGTTAAAAGAATAATTAAGAAGAATAAGAATAAAAACGATAAAGGAAAAAAAATCATACAAAAGGAAGTTTTGATGTTTTTAGTGTTTTAACGAGGCAGGGTTTATTTTCGATATAGATTTTTGTCGTATGTGTACGTAAATTTATAGAATAAGTTGTCTCTTTTTTTTAAAAAAAATTGTTTATCTTTATAATTTTTAGGAAATGTAGATCTGATGTTTTCGATTACATTCTGGTGGTCTGCTTCTAACCTATAAGAAAAATATTGCAGACACGTCTTAATGGTTCCGGAACACGCCTCTGTAGATCAGCTGTTGAATACCAACGTTAACACTGCCACTAAACAAATCTTAACAATAATCACGTTTTAGTGTGACGTGCCACGCATAATAAACTCCAGGACTTTTGTACGTGTTGAAAAAGCTTTCAGATAACAAAAATAACATAAAATCTTCTTATCTCCCTGCGTCCTTCAGCTCTCAGTGCTTGGTCGTTGCTAAGAAATCATGTAGCCCGCGGTATAATGCATATATGCATCACTACAGTGCCTCATTACAGAGGCTCTCCTCGCTACTAAGGACAGCCTCGCGACAATGCTCCCGAGGTTCGCCTCTTCGAGACTTTCCATTGCTTAAGTCACGCAGTAGCAGGGCGCGTTGCCTACCTGTCCAGGGAAATGCACCGGTCCGAGGCTCAGGTGACTCTCCCATCTCCTCACCTTCCTTTCTTCTTCTCGTTAATCTCCGTGTGTCTTTTCGTCTGTCTTTCACTTGGTTCCCTCTACTCCTCGCGTCTCTACACCCTGTTATTGATTCTTCCGACGCCACTCCATCTCGGGTACGGACTCGGAACTTTATTTTCCGCGATTTTCTTTTGTTTTTGTTTTTAGTCTATCGTCTCTTTCCATCCGTCCGTCGGACCTCTTTCTACCTTTATGTCTCTTTTCGTTTATATTTGAATTCCTTCTCCTGCTTTCCATTCGCCCTCCTTCAGGTCTTGATATTTGTTCCCAGTTTCTTTTCTCGTTTCTCCCTGGCAGGGGTTTAAAAACTTTTGCAAAAATTTTGTGTCAATAAATTTCTTAAAACATGCATTTCTTGCATATTGTTCAAGGATCTTAACGATGTCAAGACATCGATTGGATTAATCAGGCTGAGGATAGGCTACTTGTGAATACAAGGAATCTTCGAGTACTATAACTAGAGAGGGGTTTCTTGATCAGCTGACCGACTGTCAGCTTGTCATGGACTGTTCTTCATGGAGGTAGTGTAGTTAACGAAATAAAAATAAAATGTCGATATACGATAACAGACCCATTTTCAGTAAATGAAAATTAATAATTAGTCAAGAAAAATATAAACTGTTATAGTTGATTGTTCAAGGGAGGATTTCTCGATGTTTATCTGGTTTAAAATAAAACTAAAAATTAACGTAGAAAATTTATTGTAAAATTTAGAACGTTTAAAAAATAAAAGAATAAATAAAACTATGACATTATTTAACGTTTCAAAATTAATAAATTGTTGCTAAAACCTTAAGTTTAGGATAATAGAACGTTATTACTATCGGTTGGAATAATTTTTAATAGTTGGTGTGCACTGTATTAACATTTAAATAAAAGCCTTTCTTTTATTAGTAAACCTATGTAAATTTAAATAGAGCGTGTATGTAAATAAAGTTACGTATTTATTACATTTACGGATTATCCGGCTTTACGTTATCCCGGAAAATATATTTCTTCAACCAACCCTAATGATCGGGAGTCTGCTGTGTTTTAAAACACGTGACGTCCTTTGGAGTAAATCTTTCCAGTTTTCCTTTGTCTTCACTCTGAAACGAATGTCTTGCAGCCAGAGGGGAGTGCGGTTTATTTGGTCTTCAAGAATCGTGTTCAACTCTGACTTTCTGTCGGCAAACACGACTGTGTATACAGATATCTTATTTTGTTTGTTCCTGTAACAACTCTAGAACTATCGATATAGTAGGCTTCTGTTTTACAAATAACCTAAGAAGAGAAGTTAAATATCACATTAGATCACATGTGTGCAAAGGATGGACGGACAGATTCATGAATCTATTGGGGGATATATAATGTTTTATATTCGTATTTTGTACCGGGCAGACCACCTTCGATTCTCGGACTAGAACACAGAAAATTAAGAACTGCGGATTTCACGCTAAATCGTAGTCTTTAAATACTGACATAAGCTAATCGCCCAACCGCAACCACTGACATGGCAGCCATCATTCCTCCAATGTTTCAATCTATGAGGGCAGTGAGGAGACCAGCATAAACTTTAAATTAACATGAAGGCGTTATGAAATCACGCTATAAACTTCTGTTTATCTTTCGCACTTGTCACCATTTGTGACATTCATATTTAATTCGACGCTGTGAAAAAATTTACTTGAATCAGCGTCGTTAAATTATTATCTTGTAATCAGCGCAGATGTTAGATTCGTTTTGAGGAAACGCCGTGCTGTCGCGGTAACTTCTCCGACACTGATGTTATGCGGTTAGTGGAACGTATTCTTTGCAGGGGTATTGTGTCTTCGTGGTTGGAAACAGAATGCGATTTACAAGGTTCGTGTTAATGTGAGTTCTAGTTCTAAAAAAATGGAAATTCTGGTTACTGCAAACGCCTGTGTGCCCCATAATAAATGTAACTTATTATTATTATTATTATTATTTAGTGTTCTGTCTGACGACAGGTCCATATGAACAGGATCCTTCCATCCTTTTCTCGGACTGGGACCTGTTCATATACGTTCTTGGCAGATGATCCAGAAGTGGTTTGCCATTGCCTTCTTCTGTGTGTGAATGGAGTAATTGTTGGGATGCCACGGAGGAAAACTCCGTGTTGTTTAGACCACGGCCTTGCCCAACACAAGTTATAAATTCGGGCACCGCCGGGAATCGAACCCGAGACCCCAGGATTACAAGGCCAGCGTTCTAACCGCTAGACCACTAAAATGTATTGCAGGCAGTATTACAGAAGGCGCATACAGTATTTTGCGACAACGCAATGGAATTACGAATTACGCTTCAATAGCCTGTTCTTTACAACTCATAAGTTCATGAAGTTCTGCAACGCACGTGCCTAAACCATTCCACGACCAAACCGGAAGTCGCCTCCGAGCGTATGGTGCTTATTGAATGTAGGTTACCAACGTTTCTGAGAAACACGTTCTCTCCATTTTCATTGAAACTGGGGAAAAAAAAGTTTCTTCCAAATGTTGGTATGCCCCTGGTAGTCTTCACCTCGACGCAGCCCTCAACAACAACAACATCGTAAACTGTGCCACAGTTGTTCTGTCAGTAAATCCACAGTGTGAAGTCAGGATGTTATGGTGGCCATGGTGTCTGTTGCAGAGGATCATGGACTCGGCAGAGCAGGCTGCACTGTCTCAGAAGCTGGACTCGGCGTCGGCTGTCCGCTACTACAACGCTCGGCGTCTCAACGAATATGGTCCGGACGGCCGCCTGCAAGATGGCTCGAAGGAGATGAGCCTAACGCAGAGCAAGCACTTCGACCAGCTGGCCGTGAACATTAGCCTGAGCTCCGTCCTGCTGCCACCGGAAGTACGCGACTCAGGTGACTGTTTGCGTTAGTATACCGCCATTGTTGATTTCATTACGCACAGCACGTGCATGGTTGTAGAAGATCGTGAAAGTACTTAACCAAACACCTGATGGTCGTACAAAGAATTTTACATTTTCTGGTCCTGGTTTTTATCTTCCTGTCAGCTTCAAATGGACTCCTTCCTTGTCACAACCTTAGTTTAAATTTCCATAAACTCCATAGAGCAGAGCCCATCTTGAGAAGCTAAGAGTACGCTCAGCTAATCGAACATGAAGGATAAATTCGTTCTTAAAAAAAGATCCCGTCACTGGACTCTATCCTCAGACACTTAAATCCCTCACCATCTCACCCTACTTCCTTAAGATCCATTTTAATATTATCCTTCCTTCAGTACCGACAGACATGGTTCCTGAAACATTGGGGTTATATTTTGAGGGTTTCCTTCGGGTTCTCCGGTTTTACCCTGCAAATAAATCACCCCATTACTGCTCTTAATTACTCAGTTTGTTACTTAATTGTTTACGTAAATGGCTAATTAGTTCAGTTGTTAGATCAGTTAGCTTTGCGCGTTCAATGACGACGTGTTATTCGACTGTTTCTTGCAGACCCAGAAGTACTGAACGCCATCAAGTGGTCGGAACACCTGGACCCACTGTTCATCAACAACTACGAGATGGACCCCTCGCTCTCTTGGCAGTACTTCGGCAGCTCTACGGGCTTCCTCAGGAGGTACCCCGGTGAGTGAGAAGACGAACCTAGGGAGTGAATTTGTCACGAGAAGCGGTAATTTAGGAGACAAACAGAAAACCAAACACGACGTCAGTCCTGTAAATTCATGTCACAAAATCTCGATGGTAACCCTTTAAAGAGGAGAAAAAATCTGAACGCCCTGCGATGTTTTACGATTTAACTTGGTTTATGTTATCATCTGGCAAGAAAATGTAAGTTGGCATCAACCGAAATGTCTAGTTCGGGAAAAGCGGAAGTCGATAAAAACACTGTTTACTGGAATATCAATTTTGTTTTTAAGTTTTGTGGTCTTACAGACAACTTAGGTTTGCCTTCTTTACCAGCGTTGAAGTCTCCAAACATGCAATTTTTTACATGTAATTACAAAGAGCAGTTTTCATGACTATATTTTAATTTTAATCCATAGAAGAGTATAAGAAGAATTTGATGACGTTTAGAGATGTCTCTCTCTCTCTCTCTCTCTCTCTCTCTCTCTTTTAAAGCAACTGTGTTAGTTGCAAACATACGGTTACACAAGTAGGCGCGTGTTCACTTTGAACTTCTGAACTTCTTCGTCTCTGGCAGATCCGTGTTCACGTCTCCTCCAGGAGAGCATCTATCATGACTTAGGTTTTCATGATTTTCATCAGTTTCTCAGACGAATATCTGGTTTAGGCTTGTCTTAAATGAATCATCTTATCATTCGATGCTGTAGCCTATAATCAGAGCTATCAACAGTACTGTTCAGTAAGCCATAAATAAAATAAATATATTTATATTCTTCAAATATAACACTTCTCATGCTTCCTATGTTATCATCACTCATACCTCAGGGATTTCATGAGGATGTCACACTGTGTAAGTTACTGAGACAAAACCGTGCATTCCACATCACTTAGAAGTAGAAGGAAGAAGGGTTTGGATGGGTAGCAGATAAGGAAGCATATACTGTCCATACTGAAAACATTATTTCCCAGTTGCAGAACTTTATAGCTTGCTTTCTCAGTTCCTATGTCAGTAATGTCTTTGGTTTACATACTATATGAGGTTATGTTCCTTCTACCCGCAAGCTGGTGACGTAGGCGAAATGCACTGTATACTCCCAGTTACTATACGAGGAACAGGTCCTCTCAAACTGTGACGTCTGTCACTTTATGCTTTTGAACTGACTGTTTCAGCGATCAAATGGCCTCCTGACGATTCGTCAGCAAGGAGTGGGCAGGAGCTGTACGATTTCCGCACCAGCTCGTGGTATATAGACTCTGCAACGAGCCCAAAGGATGTGGTGATCTTACTCGACAGCTCGGGATCGATGACCGGCCAGCGCAGGGAAATAGCAAAGAGTGTCGTCAATGCCATCCTGGATACGCTCGGCAATAACGACTTTCTGAACGTGTTCAGGTTCTCTGACACAACGGATCCACTGGTGCCATGTTTCAAAGACATGCTTGTCCAGGTAATTCGCTGTCGATTATCCACCTGCAGATTATTTGGTTCGTGGATCAATCGTGGAAATCCTCCTTAATTCTGTTTCACTAACTGCATCTAACTCCATAGAGCAAAGTCCTTCTTGTGACAGTACACTCTGCTGGTGAAAAAATTCACCATCATTTAGTCAAAGTTTCATTACCGTGTTCACCAGATTTCACCATCAGTTGCTATCCTGAGGCACACAAAATCAGTCCACAAACTCCCATCCAGCACCTGTAAAATCCAAGTTAATAGTATCCTTTCATCTGTGCTTAGGTCTTTTAGGTAGTCCCTCCCCTTCAGAAATTCTGACTCAAATTTTGTATACATTTTTAGTTTATCGTATGTGTGCACCCATCACGTACATTTAAATTATGTCATCTTAGTAATGTCTATTGAAGAGTACATTTTATGAAACTCCTCGTTATGTACTTTTCTTCAGCTTCCTGTCACTTCCTCCCTCTTGGTTCCATGTATTCTTCTCAGTACCCTCTTCTCAAACATTCTCAATGTATGTTCTTTGTTTTTGTGACAGAAAAAGTTTTGCAACGTAGAAGGTAACAGGTGAAGTTATGCTTCTGTATATTTTAGTCTTCACGTTTGTATACAGCAGCCAGGAAGATGAAAATTCTAAAGTGAATAGTTGTTTCCCTGAATTGTTTTGTGCATTATGTGTTTATAATGTTCTGTATTTCAAAATACAGAATTTTTGTGCTTGAAAAATTCCCATCATATGTGCACAGTTGTCTTAAAAGTGATACCATATATTATAAAGTCTGATTGCTCTGTGTCCCATTAAGTTACTCTGTTTTGATTTTATGCGAAGTGAAACCTATTGATTATGAAGCTTCTCATTAAATAAACTTGTCTATCCACATATATTTGAAATCTTGATTTTTAATTTCAGATAATTGAGGCATAAAATATTGTTTCAGGCAAACATGGAAAACATAAGGGAAATGAGAAATTACTTGGACACAACAAGAGCAGAAAATATAGCGAACTTCTCATCGGCACTCATCACGGCCTTCGAAATATTACATAAGGTCAGTTCTTCACACAACAGTAACTTGTACTGATTTTTATGCTTCTCTTTGTCCAAAGTTTTAGAATTTTTTGACGAATATATGAAGAATGCTATGTGGACACAATGATGTCTCTTATCTTCTGATCTCTCAACTTACTGTACCAACTTTGTTCAGAGAAAGAGAATTGATCATGGCATGTGCTAAGTGACCCTTTCCATGCTCTGCATAAAATATCTCATGTAGTTACGCTGAGTCATCTGAATTTATTTCCTGTTTAAGATGAATGAGAGACACTGTCCAATTATTTCCCTAGAGTTACAGGCTTCTCAACAATAGAAATATAGATCTACATTATTACAGAAATTTCCTGATAAAACATTTCTTGCACTTTTGTAAAATGGCTGTTGACACTAGTTAAAGAGTTTTGGGTGTTGCTGGCTGAAGCACAAAGTAAAGCGGGAATCTGTTTTACAGTACAATCGTACAGGGCAGGGCTGCCAATGTAATCAAGCCATCATGCTCATCACAGATGGTCCACCATATGACTACCATGAGATCTTCAAGCAGTACAATTTGCCACACACTCCTGTCCGGGTGTTCACGTACCTTATTGGGCGCGACTCATCAAATGCAGAAGAGATGAACAGGATTGCCTGCACCAATAAAGGTAAACATTAAACTGAAGAAGGGGACCAGAGTTGCGGAAACTGTTATTTAAGGTTAAAAAATAAGGGTCTCCTCGGACTAGCTTTTACTTTTATTATCTTCATTATTATTCCATGTGAACCTGTTCAAATACTCTGTACATGAAGAAACTGAATTGACTTTGCAAAATAATTTTTCTTACAACAGTTTTAGACATGAGAAGGTAGTAATTTTCTTTCTTGATCTCCACGGACATTAGATTAATATCAATTTACAAAATTTTGTATTTAGCAAAGAATGAG